TATCGCCTCGCTGGGAGGAGCGTGGTAGGGAGCACGCTAAGGGAAAATTGGAAAAATCTGGAAAATCGGGTTGTAGGTGTTGTTGCCTGTTTCTAACAGACATTTCTTTTGGGCAAAGCATCCAAGTCAAATCAGGAACGTTAAAAAAGGATTATGACAAGGCATTGAGCACAGTCAGGGCAGGATACAGAACTATTCGCCTCCTGTATGTTCACACGCTGGCCTGCACCAGCTCTGGAGGGGCTGTACCCTGGAGCACTCTCCTCTCCTTACTGGAGATCATTTGCTTCCCGCAGTGCTGTCAAAAAGAAACCAAAGGTCCCCAGCCCAGTGCTGAGCAGGGGGGGATTTGCAGCCCCTACACCCATGTGATGCAAAATGTGCCTGAGCAGAGAGCAGCCGTCAGCCCCAGCACGCACATCCACGGCGGGGCTCTTCTGGGCAGAAAAAAGTGTAAAATGAATTAATTAAATAAAGCTCTGCTCAGCTTTTTGTCCTGCAAGATCCACAGAGCAGGGAGGAGGAAAACGCTGGATTTGATAGCACAAATCAAAATTCCTGCTCTAGGGGATGGGAGTTTTCCCTTCGCTTGGGACCTGATTTTGCTCTGACGACGTTTGCTGCTGGGTTGCAGGGGGCGGAGATGCCATCGCTTCCCCCGGTTCCGGCTGAGTCACAGCCATCCGCCGGGTAGACTCGGGGTCACAGCGTTGTGCGAGGTTTTCATAGCAGAGCTGGCCAACAACTTCACAGAGATTCCCCGGGTTATTAGGGAAACATGCACAGATGGTCGGCAGATGTGTCGTGGCTCTGCAGCGGGGAGGGTGGGCGAGCTCTGCGGGATGAGATCCCGGCACGTCCTCCTGGCTGATGCGGTGGTGGTGACGTCCCCGTCACACGTCCCACGGCAAGGCAAGCTGCAGGACAGCTTGGCCCCAGGGCGTAGGTGAGAGAAGAGGTTAAACACAGGTGAGGTTGCATCCTTGGGGTGTTCTTGGCACCCCTTAATGGCAGAGCCACCGTCCCCGCTACAGCAGCCAGGAGAGGGACACATCTGCGGGGAAAAGGGATGTGGCCGATGGCAACGCGCACTCCTCCAGATGTGCTAAGCTCCTGGATGGGTTCCCTTGGCAGAAGCTGGGGGGTCCCTTGGGGCTGGAGACCTAAACAACGCATGAATTGGGATTTTTTTTTTGTCGCGCAAGCAGCCGTGGCGCTTACCCACGCTGGCGGTCTGGAAGTGAGCCGAGAGGAAGAGGGCGGTGAAGCAGACGAAGGCTGACATGCAGGTGGCATCCTTCCCGTTGCGTTTGCAGTCCTTGGTGAAGATGTTGATTTTGGCGGGTTCGAAGCGGATGCTGGCGTTGATCTGGACCACGCTGCGGGACCTGCGGGGCAAGCGAGCGTCGGGAGATGTGCTGGGGCACGGGAGCCTCCAAAACTCTCCCACACCTCCCTGTTCACCCTTTTCACACCTTTTCACCCATTTTTCTCAACATCAGGAAGGTGCTGAGAAAGCCCAAAGGCCATCACAGCACGCTGATCTACTCTCAGCTCATTTACGGAGTATTTGAAGAATAAAATCTTTTGCATCTATTTGCCTCCTGCTTAAGCCAGCGAAGAGGCTCAGCACCGATTTGGCCCCTTTACAAGGCAGACCCCAGAGTGACCCATCTCTGCTCAACACAGCAACCTCCATCCTAACAGCTTCAAGGGACTTTCCAAACATTAATGAATATTTGCAAATATTAAATTGTTCTTGTTAAATAGGACCAGAGGGAGCTTGGGCAAATCACCAGAAATCAATGGGCTGGTTTGGAACTCTTGGGGGACTAATGATGAAATCCAATGAAAAAAAAAACCACCTCTGATGTCCTTCAAGGGCCCAATGGCATTGAAACCCCATGGCCCCGCTGGACAGGGGGTGGCTATTGGGGCACGATGGGTCAGACTGTTGGGAGATCACTTTTCCCTCGAAAAAAAGCCAGTGTACTGCGCTGAGCTTCTGGCAGAGGAGTGTGCCAAATGAGATACAGCTCACCACAGCAGCACGGCGTTCCCCAGAGAGCCAACGGCCAAGTCCACCAGCCCGTCTTCGTTCAGGTCCAGCTGTCCGTGGATGCTGCATCCAAAATACATCAGGCCTGGCGCGAGGTCGGCGGCTGCGATGCGCTGGAAAGCAAAGGGGAGAATCCAGTCTTGGTGCCAGCAGGAGCATCCCTGCCTGCCCAGGGGGGGTTTGCCACCCCGACCTCCTTCATGCTCCTGAAGATGCCCTTTTCCAAGCGATTCCACCAAATGTATTTTGCCAGGGAACAGGAGCAGTTTCTCTTTGGAGACACCATCCAGAGATTTCTGCTGAATTTACTCTGCGTATTTGCTGTTTCTCACAAGCGTGAGGAATATTTTATCTAGAGTAATCCACTGCTAGGCGTTGCCCCGAACTTCAAGCATGTTTTCCATACCCTCATTTGCTTTGTCTTGGACCTCTCACAAGAGAAAATATCCAGCAGTAACAATTAACAATGCAATCAATAATAATTAACAATGCAATACGGCATGTGAATTTATTATAAGCTGAAAGAGGGGAGATGGAGATGAGATATTGGGAAGAAATGTTTCACTGTGTGGGTGGTGAGGCAGTGGCCCAGGGTGCCCAGAGAAGCTGTGGATGCCCCATCCCTGGAGGGGTTCAAGGCCAGGCTGGATGAGGCTTTGGGCAACCTGGGCTGGTGGGAGGTGTCCCTGCCCATGGCAGGGGGTGGCACTGGGTGGGCTTTAAGGTCCCTTCCAACCCAACCCAAACCAGTCTGTGATGCCATGATTCTATGATTGCACTCTTCAGTCCTTAAAATGGGCACAAATGACATTTATTCTGATGAAGGATGGAGACAACCAGAGCACCTGGGAGCCGTACCTGCTTGTACTTCTTCAGGACGGTCTCTTTGAAGCCGAGGAAGATGTATATCGCTCCTTGGTGCTCGTCCTCCAAAGGTGCCCCGACGACGAGGTCGTTGTAGGAGTCCTGGTTGAGGTCGGGCACGGCGGCGATGCAGGAGCCGAAGCGGGAGTTCTGGTAGCTCTGCAGATCTATGAGGGCACCGCTGGAAACGAAGTGGTTCTGCTGGGCCAGCCAAAGAGAAAAAGTAAAAAAACCCCAAAAAACAAAAAAAGTCAGTGATACAGTGATGAGTGAGCAGTTTCTCTAAGGAAGGAGGTGAGAACCCTCCTGGAGCTGTGGGACTTTTTGCTCAGCACATCCATGGGGTTGGGTGAGCCCTGTGCCAGCCCCACGCCTGCTTTGCCTCCTTTTTATAGCAATCTATGGAAATAATTGGATAAAAAAGTTGTGCTTTAGATATGGGGGATCTGGCTGCTCTGAGCTCTGCAGCCTTGGTTCTAGAGCACGACCTGTTTGCTGCCTGCACACCTCTGGAACCTGATGGGTTTGGATCAGAAATTGCATTTTCACCCCAATTTGAGGGCAGCAGGAAAGCTGGTCCTGGGTGCCTGGGAAGGGGACGGAGGTGGCACATGTCCCATCTGTGCCACGAAGCAATGGTGGAGGGACTGATCTCACTGCTCCCCATGACCCTGGGCTCCAGCCTTGGAGGGAATGGTTTTGGGAGGCAAAGACCCCCCATGTTGGAAAGACCCCACCTTGCACCCTGTGCATCACCTCTTTGGGGCTGGGAGCAGCAGGATCCTGCCTTGGAGCCCGTGCATCGCCTCTCTGGGGCTGGGAAGCTCGCCCAGCCGGGAGCAGTGAAGCCTCGAGATGAGGCGGCTCCGCTCCAGCGCAGGCTGGGCTCCCTTTGCTGGCAGCGAGCAAACCCCCCGAGATTGTTTATAAACACAGAAAATGGATAAATCCTCCTCAAGTCTCGCAGCAGCCACAACAGCGAGGTGCTGCCAAGCTCTGCTGCCTCTGGATCGGGCTGCCCTGCCCTGGGGTGTCTGATGACAGCCCGGAGCCACCCCAGGGAGGTGACACAGGGGACACAGCTGCTGTGCTAGCACCCGAACCCCCAGCCCCCGCAGCATCCCCGGCTCACCTCGCGCAGGGTGTAGACATAGACCTTGCCCCTCTCCCTGCCCTCGCTGAAGTACATGGGGGCTCCCACCAGCAGGACGTCGGTGACGCCGTCGCCGTTGACGTCCAGGGAGTTGATCTCGCTGCCGTAGTAGGAGCCGATCTGGCAAAGGCAGAGGAGGAGATGGGACCAACTCTGCCAGCATGCAGGGACACTGTCACCCTCCCTGGGGGTGACATTCCAAACCCCGTCCCTGCTACAGCTGCATGGTTCGGAGCTGCGGGGGCAGCAACAGCCAGCACATCCCCAACCGTCCATGGATCTATCACACTGCTGAGCCATTTAAACAGAACAATTTGCAAAATTAAGGGGGAGGATTGATGGAGGAGAATCCCCTCCAATGGAAAAAGTCTGGGCAGCATCCTCAGCGTTACCTGCTCACCCTTCAGCGCCTGGTGGATGGTGAGGTTGCGGTTGTTGTGCATGCTGAAGAGGATGACTTTCCCGGTGTGGTTGAACCTGGGCGCTCCCGCAACGTAAATCCGCTCGTGCTTGGTGGATATGACGGAGGAGACGGTGTAACCTGGAAGGGAAGCGTGCACGGGGTGAGCACGGCCAAGCGGCTCCCTGCCTGCTCCCGGTGCTCTGCTTCCCATTAGCTCCCAGCTGCTGACACAGCTCTGGCCGCCTCCCAGATGGGGAAGATAGAAACGCAGATTTCTTCAAAGATAAAGTCATTCAAACAAACCTCAGTGCCCTGACCCTGGGCTGGGAGCCGCCTGCTCAGCTCCTACCTACACCCTGAGCAGCAGCTGCACCGGGAGCTCTGGCACCGCCTAAAGCAGCCGGCAAACCCCCAGCAAAATCCTTCTCTCCTCGAAGGCAGTTCCAACGCGCAGCCTGAGAAGTGTTTTAGTTCATGGGTCACAGCAAGTTAAACAAACACCAGCAAGGTGCGTGCACGGGGCAGGCTGCGGCGCTGCTCCTTCGGGACCCCAGCAGCAGCACTTCCAAACCCAGGCGTGAAGGGCTGTGCTGGTGCTTGACGTTAACATTCACGGTCCAAGAAAAGCCATGAATCTGTCAAGACCTTTGCTCACGAGTCCTTATGGAAATAACCCAGCCTAAGTGAATGTCCCCCAGCAATCCTTTTCCTACCCTGATGGGTAGGAAACCTGTGGTTGCAGACAGGCTTCACTAAGAATATAAACCTGGGGCTGCTATTTTTCAAACCCAGCTCCAGGTTCCTGCACG